AATCGAAGAAGTTCATTTTAGCAATGCATTGTATGCAATCCTTTCACCTGCTGTTTTTTCCTCTGTTGAGTGTAGAGGGCTCTCAGCTCCCACTCAGAGCATTATGCAGAAGAATGCATCCTCCCACCAGCCGCATTCAGAGCACATCCTGCCACTGAAAAGTTCATTATTAGAAAAAGTGCTCCATGTCCTTTCCCTGCAGCTGCATTTGTAATGGTTTAAAAACCCAGGAGACCAGACCCACTCACATAAGTGTCACAGTCCAAGCCACAAACACACACAATGAGAGACATTAGCCAGAAGCAAGTCTTTCTACATGCTTTTTGTAATACATCCCACGTATTGCCAAGTTTTGCTCTAAACAGAATGATATTAAAGGGTGACTGAAATGTTTAATTTTGCGACGGCTACGTAAGCTATGTGGCACTCTCACTGTGACTTACTTGTCTGCCTTTCTTCTGGTGTAGATATAATTTTCTTGAAAATATTGTACCAGGGTTGCGGTCGAATAGTCCGTTTTGCTTAGGAACCTTCCTAACTGAGTGAAATGACCCGGAAGTCCCTCAGTGGCAGCCATGATAAGAGCCGTTCAAATTCTCTAGATGATAGAAAAGGAGGTTTCAAACTTCCTTTATAACCTCCTTTAGTTTAGGAACCACTGGACCTCCCTTTACGAAAGGAGAGGAGAAAATGCTGCCCCACAATGCCTTGCAGCCGCAGCATTTGCCGTGACACAACAGTCGGCCGTTCACGGAAACAACCGATTATGACCGAGAAATTATATCATGAAAGTTACGGTGCTTATTAAGCTTTTTAAAACGTATGTGGTAACTTGCCAAAGTGCTTTGTTTTGAACGTTCATCAGTATTATAATCAAAAAGAGAAATATGAACGTTAGTTTTTACTGAAAGTATCAAATAAAGTCAACATTTTACAGTCTTTACTGATCTGTGTGAGGTTTGTTAAACTTTTAAAAGATGTTTGAAGGGTGATATACACAGTGATAGATGTTAAGGACTAACGTTTATAATAAATACATTTGTATTTATTTTAAGATCTTTTCATAGTTCATACAATCATAGGTATTGGGATCATTTGTATTAACCCTAACCCTAACCCTGGACCGGAGGGAGAGGGTGACGAGCATAAGTTTCACTTTCCTTTTTTATTTCAATTCCAACTTTGGTCATGAAGAATATGTTTCTCTGTTGTCCACGTTCATAAAGCATAAAACAACAGCATCAGAGCACGGTGCAGAGTCTCTAGATGAGTTTACAGTAGTCCCTCCTTCTTATTATACATCCATGTTGTAGTCCGCTGTATAGAAAACTGTAGTTTCCATAGTTTCCCCACAGCAGCAGACGCACATTTATGACGTCCGCTGGCGCATCATAAATACGTTGGATAGTGAAAGTGCAGTCGGATTCTCAAAGCACCGCAGTCTCTTCTCCTAAATCCTTTTGAATTCTTCTATCCACTATTCCTTAACCCTGTGACGTTTCACACAGAGGTCAAGGAATAGATGATAGGGATAGACGATAGGAGCTGATTTTTGGACTATTCGACCGCAAACCCCTCCCAAACCTAAAGGAACAGAAGGTGTTGAAGCCTATAACAAACCTTGTATTTTAATGAACTAAAATAAATGATACCTTTGTGCCCTGTAGGCTTTCTTGTTTTAAAGCACTTTCTCGTATCAATGCTCACATTTCCTTTAATAGAACACAGCCAAGATACTTCAGTATGAAAAAGAACAGTCATTTCAATAGTAGAGAATGTCCCCGGCACCTGCTAATGCTTTTCATTCTTTCTCAAGCGAGACTTCACTTGAAAGGTTTACAGTGAACATTGAAAAGAAAGTAGGAGGAGAAGCTTTTAGGTATTACGTCTAGTTTAACTTGGTCTGTGTGAGTGTACTGGTACAAAGGAACAGCGAAAAACTGATGTCATTGTCAATGTCACAGTGACAGAGAACCTAGCTGCATGTACCTCTCAAAGTCTAAAGCAGGGAAAAAACAAACCATTATTTATTTGACTGAAGTATTGTTATCCATATTTTTTTATATGAGCTGGCAAGTTATTTAGACATTTTGGTCAAACTCTTTCCAGGTTTTTTGTGCCTCAAAATAAGGGTGCAAACAACCCGATACGAGAGGGATGAGATTAAGACAACAATTGTAAACACATGACTGTATATATCAAGACTGCAGTTCTTCTCTAAAAATATGTATTTTATTGATATCTGTATAAGTATAACATCTGATTCCTGCCAGGTGTTTTTAAGTTTAACATTTAAAGTGAGAATTGAACTCTGTATATACTGTATGTTTGCCTATAGATAACAAGACATTTCAGAACAGATATGGCACATTTATGTTTTCCGATAATGTAGAAACAGTGTTGCCATTACTTAGTTTATATTCGTTAAGAAATAGTATGACCTTTTGAAAAAACACTCTTATTTACTTCCTTGCTGAGAGTTAGATTGCTGATAGTTTCCAAACATCAGCAATCAGCTGGTTAGTTTAGTTTAGCACAAAGATTGGAAACAGCTCGTTATATCTAATTTGTTTAATTACTACAAGAAACTAAGTGTAAAAGCATCAATTTGCCAATGTAGGTGGTGTTATGTGCCAGACTATTTCGTGGGTGAGAGCAGTAACTTCCTGGAAACTCAACTGTTGCCTGGCAACTGGTCTGAACCTAGAATTATTACCCCACATAACTTCGTTTGAAACTCAAACTCGGAGTCTTTTTACACAACTGTAAAATAAATACATGTTTATTTATTTAATGTTGGTTAATAGTTATCCTATTTCCCCCAAAATATTGTACCTGTAATCTTACAGTTGTAATTAACCATTTTATTATAACTAAAACTCTTTGGGCAGACAGAAAAAGCTCAGATCTAAATAGTCTGGCAAATGAAAAGCAGAGCTGAAGTTTTTGGAAAGCGAATTGATTCATTAACAAGGGGTACATTTTATTGCACCTTTTATTTCACACAACCTAAACCCATTGCATACACCTCCGCTGCCGTCTGTCACATAATATGGCATCATGATGACACATGCAGTATGTTTCTAAGGATGTATGGATTCATCACCACGGTTTAGGGCAATGTGTAATGTGTGTGAGAGGATGAGCGAGTGAGAGAGAGGCAGAAAGTGACAGAGATTGCAAGTAGAGCTGTCAATCCAGCAGTAGATTGGAAGAAAAGTCTTGTCTGCTAACTGACTGCTAGAAAACTGTAGGGGGTCTGAATACAAATGGAAGAAGGGCTGAGAAGCCTGTGTAAATGTTCCCATATGTACTTATTCACAGAGAATGTGTCTCAGGGCACGTAGACCCAGTGTTTTTCTTTAAAAAGAGAAATGCTCTGCAGAGGCCACAAGTCCCCAGCTACCAAACCAACGGATGGTATTACACTGTGTGCACAAGCTACAGCTGCTAAATATAGGTCATTAATAATATCAAAGCTTGACTCAGAGAATCTGCTACTCCCACTAGATTTGTTCAAGCTACACAGAGAGAGGGAGAGAGGTATCCTACACAATATTAATCGTAATTATTCTACTGTATTTCCAACATGTGTTTATCTGCATCAATAGCACAGGCAGAGCTCTGCTGATTTTATTAAAGTGAATTTAAGATGTGTTTTTAAAAACAGCTTGGTCCATCTTATATCCACAAGGCAACACACTTTTCCATAAACATTGCATCATAGAAGGTTCCCGCAAGTATTGAGAAGAATGTCAATTCTCTAGAGAGTTTGTATGTGTGTACATTTCCATTCATTCTTGTTGCCTGTAAGAATGAAACAGTATTTGGGAAAAAACATTTTCTTTACTTTCTTGAAGCAAAACGCTTCACCCAAACAATGAAAAGATAAATAAAGTACAATAAAAGCACAAATGAATGTTACTGCTGGAAGAAAGTTACGGCCACAGCTTTTCTTTTTCCTATGATTTATATATTTCTTTCTTCTTCCTTTCTTTATTTTTTGGATGCAGAGGAATTGTGCTTTGGTCAACATATTTTGTATCTAACCTACACATACAACAGGACTGTTGCTGGCATGTCTGTTATTCAAATGCATCAAAAAATGAACCTTTTATGCATTACACAACAACAAGTGCTATCTATTACACTAAAGCTTTCCTTTCCCTGCAAAAGGTCTTACACAGTAACGTCTGTGCATACAAATGCTTGTTGAATGAAGCTTTGTGTGTCGTTTTTTTCTCCTTGAGAGTTGGTAGTTTGGCAGGACAGGGTGCTGCGTTGGCACGAGCCTCTGGCACTCCAACATGCCCTGGCACTCCTGGACCGGCTCCCTTCCTGTTTTGGGCCGCAGTGCTGTTTGTTCAGCATATGTGGGCTGAAACGGAGTTGCCCCTCACTTTTCTGCAGCCTAGGATTGGGCCATATGTTAAAATGTTCCTGCCTGAGTCTGCCAGAAACTGCTGATTGCCAATATATTCACAGAATGAATCAACTGAATCTTGATAGAAAAGGAACATACATTCAGTTCAATTTATTTGCTTCAAATTGTAACTACTGAATGAATCAAGGACACAGCGTGAACCTTCGTCATCTCTCGTAAAAATATCACTACATAAGTTGAACCGACTTGGCATTCAAGAAGATGACGCAATTGATTCATAATGAATTCCTTTTGTTTGTTAAGTGCAGTCTGGTCTTAAAAAATATGAACTTCAAATAAATATTGAAGTTGATCTAATGTCATTTGACTAATCTAATCACATAAGGTCTAATGTTTACTAATTGCGGTCGTTTTTGTGGTTCTGAAAATCAAAAGGAATCTAACTATAATTTAAAATTGATATTGAAAAGTTGAAACAAAAATAAAATTGAAAAACGAATTGATAGTTCTGATTGAGAAACAGATGCATTGTACTTAGAATTGTAGCTCACGACTCTCACCAAACAATTCCTCTGAGTGCTGTCATTGAAATGCTAACCTCTGTCCCTCTCCTCAGACACACCTTCTGGCAGTATCGTAAGGAGAACCCTCGGACCAGAGTGGGCGACCCTTCCCCTGAGGGGCTCCCGGGCTTCAACAGCGGGGTAATGTTGTTGGACCTTGGTGCTATGAGGGAGTCGGCTCTCTACAACCAACTGTTGAAGCCCAGCAATGTGGCCAAGCTAGCAGACCAGTATCGCTTCAGGGGCCACCTGGGGGACCAGGACTTCTTCACCATGATCGGTATGGAGCACCCGGAGCTGTTTTACCCCCTGGCCTGTGGGTGGAACCGGCAGCTGTGCACCTGGTGGAGGGACCACGGGTACGGAGACGTGTTTCAGATGTATTATCGCTGCGAAGGACTTGTCTATATCTACCATGGCAACTGTAACTCCCCTATACCAGATTACTGATGTAAACACTGGACTGATGTTGGAACTGAAAAGGTGTCAATGACATCGGCAATATCGTTCAAAGGAAATGTTTTCCTGCTAGGATCATGACTTTAATGACAGTTTCCTGTCTTGACCACTGAGCTGCTGCTATAGTCGCAGACTCTGCCCCCTGCTGGTCAAGGGGTCACTGAAGGGCCCACCCATACACAACTTCTACAAATGTTGTGTTCATCGGTGTCATTTTAGAATATATTTTGACACTCAGGCCGAACACAGCCCTGTGTTTCAGGAATGCAGGAGATGCAATAATAAGGGTGGGTTTCTTCAGGTACAGAGATGACGAAATATGATCTATGAAGGTCAGATCTATTCATTTACAGGCTAAAAAGTCAAAAAATGCTGATCACATTACAAAATAATAAACCCAGAAGACGTTGTAGTCTGTAATTGATTGGCTGAATGATGTGGCATTGGGGATATGGGGTCCGTGCAGGGGCCCTCTGCATGGCATAGTGCTGCAGCCATGCATGCATTATCGTTTTTAAATACAGGGCTAATGTCAGTATGAATGAGGCCTAATGCGTCATACATTGTCAATGCCAAAAAGTATTTTGTCCTTTCAATTGATTGTATATTATTTGATTTCTGTACATATTGTTAATTGTTTTGAGAAGAATATATAATAGTATAAGTGATTATTTGTTCTACTTAATAACAAGGAATTAATATTGCTGACAAAGGTTGGAATGTTATCTGCAATAAATATAGGGTCAGCAAATGTGATAAATAGTATCAACACAAAGAGTATTGTACCTTTTGATTCCCAGCACCTCAATCTTTCCATATTGGCCCCTAAGTCCCCTGTATCACCTTTTCTTCCAACAGCCCCACACCAGGGGAAGGCTCATCTGGCACCTTTTACTCTCCTCTGTGGCTGGTAGAACAGGAGGGAGTTTATTTCCCAGCCGTCTGAATTCTACACAATTCTGTAAAACACATCAGAGTATAGGAGTGGCCAGGGAGATAATGGTTAAAAATGATGGCTGATATAAATATTCAGAAGCCAAAAACACACACACACACACACACACACACACACACACACACACACACACACACACACACACACACACACACACACACACACACACACACACACACACACACACACACACACACACACACACACACACATTGGAAAACTGAGCCACACCAGAGTTTTCTTGCTCTGCTCACTGAACTGCTACTCGGATTCCCAGAAATGTTAACACTCGATATTCATCAGTCAGGAAATTGTCTGAGGTGATGCACATTAACTCACACGTGCACACAGAGGGAAGCAGCTTAGTGGCTGGCACCTTCAGTCGAGTCGGAGGAAGGCTACTGAAGACTCGTGAGAATTAACATTATCCCAAATCAATTTGCTTCCCTTGAACTCACCCTGAAGCTGGTCAATAGTTTTTCATGGCTCTTTCAGAACAACACGCTTTTGTCTTCTTAGCTCTCAAAAAATAGAGTAAATACTGAAAAACAACTCTGTCCCTAATTGCACTTTACAACTTTAAAAGGGTTTTTGTTGACTAGATGATGGTAAATTGATATTCCTGAATTATTTATCCTTTTTTTTAAAGACCAGTCCAATGGTTTTGTAAATGTTGGCCCATAATCTAATTGCAAATGCATATATGTAGCTTTGGATATATTACCTAGTTTATTTCCTGCAGTCATTGCTTCCTATTTCTTCCATGACATTTTGAAGATTGCAGAGACTCACTGATTTGACAAAACATAATCCTGTTGTGTTGCTGTGGAACATTTTATAGTTATAAGAGTGGTGTATTTGAGGACACAGACAGGATAAACATCTGCTAATTATAGTGAAATCCAGGTATGAAAATGCAGACATGGACACTGTGAAAAGGTCTAATGAATTTGGATTGTTCCTTTTAAGATATTCAGCGACCAAGTCTCAACTCTCCTGCCGTTATGAGCATCTTTTTATGCAGGTAGACTACGTTGTCCCTGCTTACAACTGCTTTACCAATGTGACCAAGCAATACAATTAACAATTCAATGTGATGGATAACATGGTCCTAAATACAATTCCATTTAGAAAAGCTGACTTTCTAAACATATTGTAAAGAATCTAAACCACTGGAGAAAGAGAGAGGGGAAGCTCATCTAAAATGTGCGTTGATTTGGTGGTACCTGTCTTTCTCAGTATCCTTGTGCTGTTCAATCACTATTTTGTAAACATTTAGTTGTATGGGTCCATAATATGACATGGGAATTGCTGGGAAGTTTCCTGGAAATAACTGTGTAACGTGTTTACTAATAATAGGGGAAATATACATTTCCTTGAACAGACTACTCTATTTAAATAAGTAAATATTTACTCATTAATCATTCATCACACCCAGTCCAATGCTTCAGTGTGAAAAAGGATACATGTAAAAGGGCTAACAGATGTTTGCACATTAGCGTAATTACTGTAAATGTTCCAAACCTCGCTTGACAAACATTTGACAGATTAGAAAGCTGCTGTGTTGAAAGGCATTTTTACATGAAGCCAAACATTGGTTATGTGCTTTTTAATGTTTGAACTCAACAACCCTTCATGGATGAGCTTCCTGTGACCCAGTAAACAGTAAACTTCCTGTTCGTCTTTACATTATTTCCCAATTCTGTAATTTAGTTTTTTTGTGTGTAATCAGCTTTTTCAAATAAATGATGATGATTTCTCTCTATTTAATGGTGTCATTTTCTAATGTAAAATTGTTTTGAAGACATGAGTTATCGTTCTTGTTTAAGTTTTTAAACACATAAGACAAGCTAGTGTTTGTTTTGTGGGAGGAAGAGCTGATAACAAATACTCACGACACAAACCTTTGTCATATTTATCTGCTAAACGATTCACATAACACATTTCTGTCCGTTAGATATGCAGCTCACTGCCAGCAAACTCTCCTTATACAGAAAAACAATCAGCCTTGACCCCTGAATGTGACATCAAAATACCCCTATTGACACCTGAAGCTAGAATGCATCTTTGCTGGAATATAATTATAATTTCTTTGTCTGCATTTTAATTTGTTTACTGTTTACTAAAAAGACTCATGCCCCTCTGTTCTTTCACATGTGCAAGTAAAGTAGACAAAAGGTAAGAAGAAGGCAGATTCACACGTGTCTATCTTTTCATGATGAGTTTTATCTGACAGGAGATATTATTATTACAAATATCGATGTTTGCACGATTTTTAGACATTTTAGCAGCAGGTAAATAAGTTGTGTTTCAACTGTCCATCCCCTATTGCAAAAACTGCACCATTAACAATGTGATCAAAGCTTTGAAGGTCCAGTGCCTGGTCTTATATTACAGCTTTAACATTACATAACATGTAACATTTTCAGTACATGAGGTAAGGCATGATTACCCTGGGCTATGTAGCCTATCAGTGTGTATTTCTAAAACTCCTTCTTCCTGGATTCATGGTCAAACACTTTGAGCATATTTACCTTCAGGGCGTGCAGCAGAAACAGCGTGCTGGTAAAGATTTGACTCTGCAGCAGAATTGAAAGAAAACAAACATGTCAATGTAGAGCTTAGTGAGACTGTGCAGTGTTTTCTTACATTTGACAGAGAAGTGAAGACAAATGTCAAGGAAGACTATTGCTGCTGTATCTGGTAGGTGAATCAGTCAACGCCTCCTCAAAGAAACAGCACATGATGGTACTACTACAGACAGGAACACTGAGAGTCAGCATAGGGACTTGTGGCGGAGTCTCACTGCAACTCCAACACGTTAAATAAGTGACATACATAGTGGCTGTGTTGCATTTAACATACTATAACTCTGTATACTTTGACAACAGGTCTGTGCTAGCAAACACCATGGGCTCATAAACTCTCTTGAACTTGTTTGGTCTTGTAATGATATCTTTCTTGATGCCTGACTGTTCTAACTGTTCTGTCAGACAATTTTAAATATTGAACTTGACTAAGCTCTATCGATATTGCATTTTATAGGAATGATGCCAATATTCTTTAAGGAAATTACATTTTATACAATGACATTTTTGATGATTGCAAATTATTTCCACTTGCTTCAATTTCAAATCACACAACTCAAATTTGTACATAGATGTTTTTGTTTTATTTGACTTGTGTTGTCTCTTATCCTTCTAGACAGAGGGACAGCCGAATGTATAACAGAAACAGAGCAGTCCAGCTCCTGACATATGTCTGTATTAGTATGCTAAAGCAGCTCATGTCATTCCCTTCTTCAGACAGTCTCCACACAAACAGTTTTTGATTAAAAAAACATGATAACACATGACACAATACATTTTCAGACTAATTCTGTTTGATAATGGTTATATTGAAAACTGCTTTGGCAGAAAGAGTAAACTAATTGAAATTCAACAGATTTCTACTGACAGTCAGTCCAATTTGAACATTCAGACCATGTCAAATCACAAATATATTGCCTTCTCCGATTCTGAAGCACATTTAACTGTCAGGAGTTCTACATGATCCGTATGACAATTTGAAAATCACGTATTTTTTAGAGTATACGTAAAAATTTGCCAGTGGTTTACAGTTTTTAGCTGTATTTGTGTGTGTGTTTGTGTGTGCAGCTGACACAGTAACCGAGTGGACAAAATGTAGGCCAATATCTTCCTGAGTGTCCTCCTCACTCTCACTGTCACTCTATCTGGAACTGACCAAGTAAAGAGCATTATGATAAATGTTAATGTTACTGATCAAACATTGATATGAAAGTGCTAATATCTAAAGTGTTTGCTTTAAATTATTATTATGAATGAGATGTTTTACTTTAATGTTTTTTTGCTTGGACTTTCAGCCACTGCACTTTCCCTCCTCACCTCATACCTCAAAGACCGCACCTACAGGGTAACTTGGAGAGGGTCCGAGTCAGATCCTTGTCAATTAACTACAGGGGTCCCTCAGGGCTCTGTTCTCGGTCCCCTCCTCTTCTCCTTGTACACAAACTCGC